GAGACATATTCCTTACTTTGTTCGCATTCTGCCAACTTCTGCTCGGTGAGTGCTACTCGCAAATAGTAAAACGGTTACTCAGCTAGTCTCTAAGGCGATAGTTTGTTCACTTGGAGGAGAAATTGGTGTTAATTGTGGACAGTTAGCTAGGGGAAAAGGCAATTTCCTCATCTGGTACGATGAAAACAAAAAATTTTTGTATAGGACAGCAAAAAATGAGGTAAGGAAGGGCGGTGTGGTGAGGTGGTGGCGTATCCAGCTTTCGTTGTTGAGGGAAGACGCACTTCAGTTTGATGCATTTTTCCTGAATGTGTCGCACTGTTTAAAGATACTTGTTAAAAATTCCTCCCTCTCTCTTTTGCGACTTGCCTGATTAAATGCGGTATTTTATCGGTTTTCGTCTTCAGAATTAGTTTTTATTTTTTGGTTTTGTAACGGAATTTTGAACGTCTTGAATGATTCAAATGATATTTTCTGAAAACTGTGTTTTTTTTTAAACTAAATTTTGCTCTCTTCCAATAAAATTTCACTGCCCTTTGTCCAGATTCTACTTTTTTTAGCAGATCTAGTGTTAATGTGCTCTTGGCTAAATTTTAGCTACACTTAAAAGAGGCCTCAAATATTGGTCGGCAGGAAATTGGCACTGAAGCTTTCAAGAATTCATTTATCAAATATAATTGCCGCATTTCGTATTATTAGTTGCTTTCTGTTCTACAGCAACTGAATTTTGCATTTTTTTTTACTGAGTTTTCATGTATTTTTTTCCTCACCGTACTTGTAATTTTTACAAGTTTAGCAAAAATGCAAGGGTTCGAATTTCTCAATTACTCCCTTCCTCTTCTCTTTTCTAATTTTTCCCCCTCCCATAATCTCCCGCCTTCCCAACCCCTCCCCTCTCCGCCGCCTTGCACCTCTCCCAAACTCACGCCTCTCCCAAACTTCTTTTCTTCCTCCCCTGCAGCAGAATTTCACTTATCAAGTGAGCTGCTCAGCGTTTTGTTGGGAAACAATTAAAGAATACCGGAACAGTGATTTGCTTGGATGTGTTCATTAATGAGTGGTACAAATGTTGCCGGTGATTCAAATGCAATATGCATCAGGAGATGATGAATCAAATTAAGTGTTCCAGAACGGGAAGCAAAAAGTTATTAGAGATTATGGATAATAAGCTGAGATGCAATTGTAACATTTCATTGGTGTTATTATATTCCATAGTGCTGCTGTCAGTGATGTTATTGCAGAGCTCGTTCCCAGGACCTGTTCGTGTTGTATTTGTGCTCAAACCAGAAAGTGTGCTGCAGAGAGCTCTCGAAGTGGGATATCGTGGAATTGCTGAGAATTGCAAATTCAAGGTATGTTTTTTGGTCTTACTTTTATACGAGCTAATATTCGCGAAAGAAAATGAAGAAAATATGAAATAAAGAAAGAAGAAAATGAACCATCTGTCAGTTACGGCATTTGAAAGTGTTCTGAATCCGATTCAATGGTAAATCAGTAACCGTTTCAAAAGTATTGACCAAAAAAAAGTATTAACTATATTCGTGTTGGGTGTGTTGCTCCTCTTACCGATAATTACTGGACATTGCGCATTAATGAGTGATGCCCTCGAGGAAGATTTCCCATGCAACTGCCGAAGAAATGATGTACATACGCAGAAACGAGCGTTAGATACTAGCTGAGAGTAGGCAACTCAAGATCGAAAGACCTGGCAAAGCTGTATCCGACCTAAGAGCATTCCACATCGGCTGTTCAAGCTATCTATGTTTACTGAGCTGACGCAAAATTACAAGCGTTTTTAGAAGGTTAGTCAAGTCTGGGACAAATTTGTGGGTATTAAAATTGCTTTGATCAGCTGTAGTTGTTTCATTATCGCGTTTCTTCTTGCCATTAATGCAGCCGGCAGCTTCTCTATTCCTTGTAAAAAATTGTGTCTAATAAGCCACTATAGCCAGGAAGGGATATGAATAGCTGCACTTTAAACTGCCTGCAAATGCCCTCATTTATTGAGAACATTCAAGTCATTCAGGAAGACTTCTAATTACGCACGCTAATCTTTCATCGCTTCATTCCTCCCTTTTTGGCCTCTGATTTCTCTTCTTTTCCTTTTCCGTCTTACCCTTTTCCGAAAGAAGTTCCGCGATGATTCGCTTGCCACTGATCGAAGTTGGATTTTCTATAGACAGTATGACTTAAGGAAATAGCAGGCGCAGTTTTACGACTTACAGGCCTAAATTTACGAAATACTGCGATTGTTAAAATACATTGTCATCATTCAGGTCACAATTTTGGAGGCAATTATTAAGGAATTGGGGAAGGGCAGGAAGGGGATAGGCGGGGGTGGGGGGATGGGAGGAGGAATTATTCGCGAGAATACATTTTGTCAATAAAATAGGGAACTATGTTACGTCTTCAAATTCTTAATATTGCTCCTTCACTGGCATCT